AGACGTTTTCCTTCCGCGAATGCGAATATGGCGAAGGCGAGGACGAATCCGAATCCGAATTCGATCGTAGGCACTGCCAACATTGACATAAAAAGCGCGCGAAGTTTGAATCTATTCGCTACAGATCGGGGGGTAGAGCCTTTTTAAGGCCCCGGTTTTGACTGAAGATCAAATATCTCTTTGGGTTCCCTAGGGCTGTGAATAATGAACTAAATTCATGTGAAATATAACTTTATTGCAGTTTATGAGGAAAAGAAAGAAGGCTATTTCACTAACTTCTTTTAATCATTATCATTATAGATAGAGAAACAAAAGTGAACAAAAACTCAAATATTCAGTATCACTTTAGGCAAATGTTAGCCAACATTATTTCATAATAGAAAATCAGTAAAGAAATAAATGGCACTGAGTTCCTAAACTGTCCCAATGAACACATAACACTAACTTTCAGTCATTTGACTGTTTTTGGCTATCAAAGTCCCCGTCTCTCTAAATTTTGACTGACTAGATAAAACTTAGACGGAAAGAGACTCACTTTGACAGTCAAATGACTTAAAGTGAGTGTTACGTGTTTACTGGGGTAGTTTAGTACGGGCAAAGACAGAGGTGAGTTCAGTGCCAATCATCTAGCTAGGAACAATAGCTGGAACAAAAGATAATAAAAAGGGCTGCAACCAATCACAACCAATATAAAGGGTGGTGGCAAGTGGGATAACTTGCATTGATAAGAATAGATATTAAAAAGAAAAATGACAACAGTACTCATTAAGGCCAATCTATGTAAAACTGTTAGAGGAAAAACATTATGAAAACCAGCAAATGGAAAAAAAATATATATTCAAAAGAAAACCCATCCCATCGTGGGTTAACAAGGTCAATTACATACAGTTAAACAATCTCATGTAGTCACCTCACTGATGATTTCAATATCATCATCACTGTCAGCCTTAGCAGCTTGATTTGTTGAATTGGTAGTGTCGTTCAAACTAACTATGTTATCATTTTCTATACTTTCATTAATATTACTAACTAATAAGGTAGTCTCCACTTCAGAGATAAAAGGGTTGCCAGAGGAGATAACTTCCTCTTCAATGATGCAACTTTGAGGCACAGCAATTGTGTTTTCACTTTCGCTCCTGATTTGCTGCTGTTTCTCCAAAAATGATACAATAAAATCATCACATTTCTCTAAGCGCACTCGACAAGGTTTCACATTATGCATCTTCAAAAGTTCTGGTACAGTTGGACAAACGACAATATCACTATCACTATCGCTATCCGAATCAAGTCTTGGCCGTTTACTTGGAGTCAGACTTATAGAGACAGAGTTTGGACCATTCCTTTGATTGATGAAAGCACCAACCCTTAGAACATCATTCTGAGCAACAAGGGGTACAACAGGCCTTGGGTTGCTTTGAATCTGTTTAAAGCGGTAGGCTGGATTATGTAAGGGGAACCTGGATCTTGGTGCAGGATGCTGATTACCACCACGGAAGACTGTTCGCACAGGGAGAACTTGCCCTCTCACAAAGACGGGTCCTGGAGCTCTCGGTCTTGGCTGCATTGATACTTGAGGAAATCTTCCTTGGAATGGTAGTGGACTGTTTACCCTCACAAGAGGAGGGGGAGCACAAGGCCTTAATAAGAGTCCAGGCCTGATTCCAGAACTTTGAAGAGCTGAAGCGTTCACAGGAATCATTACTTTTTCCAGGGGCTTTGACAACTCCATGTCATCATCCCAATCACTTGGAGCTTCATTATAAGAGTTGAAAGGATCACCACCATTTTTGTAAGCCCAACTTCTACATTGTGATTGTATAGTTGAAGTTATCTGTTTGAAACGCTGATCTGTCTTTTTGCTTAGTCTGTCAAGTTTCTTTCCAAGAACCATAACTTTCTCAACATCTTGCTTATTTTTCAGACTGTGGAATCGAGCTTCAAGGTCCCTTATCCTTTTATTTAATGCAAATCCCACAGCTCGGATACTGTCAATCCCATCTCGAAACCAAGGTACTTGATTAAGAGACTGCAATTGTTCCATGGAACGGACGCCATCCATATTACTCAGGAAGTTAGAAGGATTCCTTGATTTTAGTTGTGGTTGGCCTTGACTATTGCTTGTAAATATTGGCCTAGAAACGGTAGCTGACTGAACAGGCACATTAATTCTATTCGGCTGAGAATTAATAGGTTCCAACCCTGGCTGCAGAAGGTTTCCTTGTCTAATTAAGATTCTTGGTCCAGCTGAGGTCATAACTTGCTGTGCAACAGTGCCAGGAGGTTGAAACGTTTTTGCTTTTGTTTTCGGTTTTACTATTGGTTTGGGTGCTAATGGGCGGTAATTCCGATTTATAGGAGCCAGCTGAGGGGTAGGTCTTGATGATGTGGCGACAGGTGCATTTCTTGGATGGCTAGGACTTTTCTCCTCCAGAATAGGCTGTACAAACTGGGATAGATCTAGATAATCATCCTCTTCTGAGGCATTTTCTTGGTGGCCTTCCACATTTGAAATGTCTGGTGAATTTTCAAAGTTTTCACCTCCAAAGAGGAAATGATCACCAAAATCGATACTTTCATCAAAAGCAGAAGCAGATGCATCAGGATTGTCAACTTCTTGAACAGTAGCATTGACCTGGAGATTATTATTGACCTTGGAACCAGATGCTCTAGTTCTGGCTGGATGTTTTCTTTTTCTTTGCTTTTTACCACAGCATTTACTTCTATCCTCCTCCAAACGTTCATTTTTCCTAAGGTCATTAGAGGTAAGGGCATCCCTACCAATGAAAGGAAAAGTTATATTAGATGACGATTGAAAACTGAGAGAAGAAAGAAGTAATGATCATGGAGTAAAGATATGTACTTACTTCTTCTCCTTCATAGTGTAGCTGAGTAGAGCCCAGCAAATAGCGCGTAATGGCCATAGCTCCTTATAGTTGCACAAAAAGCACGCCCATTCATTCAGGGCAGTTATGGTATTTAATTGGACATTGCCAAAATTTCTTCGAATACAGGGCTAAATAAAGCAAGTATGCAAATGAATAAAAAATAGATAGTAAATAAGATAGATAAATTTCATACTAGGTATATACTTTTAGGTTTCAGGATGCATCTTACCTGACAAAATACATTTGGGCAGCTACTACAGCAAATGACTTGCCCTCCTTGGCCGCACCATCGACAGTATAATTCTGAACCATCAGAATCTTTGGTGAACTGTCCAATACCATAAAAGGAGCGACAACGATTACAAGTTAATACACGGAGAACTTTGTGACGATTTCCTAAATGAATGTAGTTGGGGGCTGCTCCAATGTGCCTACCACATGAAGTACAGTGTAAACGTAGTTTGAGCACACCCTCAATTCCATCTGAAGAGAAAAGAAAACTTTAAGTAAAGAATAATTTGTAAAGAGCATTGTTTGGCACAATGAACAATTACTTACTAGATTGAAACATCTCTTTGTAAAATGCAAGTTCTTCATCAGTAACCCTCAAAACATCCTGGTGCACAGTTACAGTAGGATCTGGCTTGCAGGGGGCAATTTCTGCACCATCCTCATACTCCCACTCGTCCACTAAAACATGAAGGTCTCCAATTACTTTTATATATCCAACACATAGGCACAGACACACATCAAATAAAACTTACTCTGAACTGAATGTTTAGATGAATCATCTGAATCACCAAATTCTTCTATAAAGCGTGGGGTCTTATTTGGAATTGCGCCTGTTTTTGCTCTAGTAACTATTCTGTTTTCTTCAACATCAGTCTTAAATTTCTTTTCACTATCTGCAACAGAGAAAAGAGGGGACAATTATGGCACTCTCAAATATACCAAATACCATAGATAGTAAAATTGTACAAGGTTGAGCATGTTATTTATTACCTTCATTATTATCTGCGGATGAAAATGTCTCAATCCCTTCTCCAAAGTCACCATCTAAAAGAGTTATCATCGGTGAAAGAGCTCTAACTTTTTCAGCACTTGGGGAATTCTTTTCTTTTTCTTTAGAGGCTTCAATTCCTTCCTCTAAACTATTTGTAATACATTCTAATGTTTCATCTACTGCTAGAGGGTTACCTTTCTCTTCACTACTAGAAAGTGGATCTCTTTCTCCCACATTTAGAGATGGTGCATCTGTGACGCCAGCTCCAGTGTCATTATTTATAGGTGGGGGGGTTTCTACCGCATCTCCAAAGGACACAGTTTCACAGATAGCTTTTTCTTCATTACTGTGAAGCGTATCTTTATCACCTATGTTCTGAGGAGGAGTGGCCGTGATCTCACGTCCAATATCAATATCTGCAGGTTCGAGGGATTCTGTTTCTTCTACTGCTGCAGATTTCTCTTCGGTACTGTGATGCAGTTCTCTTTCACCTATGTTCTGAGGTGGAGTGCCTGTGACCTCATGTTCAATATCATCATCTATAGGTGGGAGGAGAGGGCTTGCACATCCAAGAGAAGAATCTACATCAGCGGATGAAATTTGTGGTGTGTCAACATCACTGCCGCAGAGCAGATCTTTTTCTTCTGGGTTTCTGATGGGAGTATTTGAAACATCAACTGATTGCAAACTATCAAAGAGGACCTCATTATCTGAGACATCCTGTTCTCTATTATGATTTGTTGAACTTTCTGGGTCAGATTCTTGATTAACAAAGTTGGAAGTTGAAACTGTTGGGTCTTCTTGATTTTGGAGCTGAGGAAGTGCGGCTTCAGAATGATACAGATTTAATTCTTCAACAGGAGTATTGTTTATGTTGTAATCAACAGAATTTTCAACTTCATGCAGTGCTGTGCCTGTACTGTGTTCTCCATTATCAAAGCTCCCTATAGGATCATCTACAGGTGGAAGATACGGGCTTACACACCCAAAAGATGATTCTGTCCCAGAGGATGTATTTCTAGTTATGCCAACCTCAGGATACTCCATCTCTGTTTCTAATGGTGGTTCTGAATATGAACCTGTCATATTAAGATCTTCATTAGGAGTAGAATACATACTTGCATCTGCCTCTGGGTTGACACTGGCATTAGGAAAGTAAGCATCATTCTTTTTAGGAGCTAGAAATTCTGATGGATTGTCAGCACTTATATTCTCAGGTTGTTGTGCATTTGTATTCACATCACCTGATGGCTGAATGTTATCAGGAAATACATTTTGGTTTGAGAATTGTTCGGGTAGAAATTGACTAGAAAATCCTTGACTTGGGGAGACACTGTTAATATAAGTCTCTTCATGAGGGTTCTGCTGAAGATTTTCAGAAAATGACAGCAGAGGAGCATTATCAAGACTTTGATTTTGAATCTCAGGGCAATATGACGTTCTGTTCTGATCAGACGTGTCCTGACTACAATGGGTATTTTCATACACATTATTTTCATTCATGCGAATGTCATAGATTGATGGCTCATCAAGCTTTTGATCACTTTGAGAGTGAGTAGCATTGTCTTGAAAATAGTGCTCAGAAGAATTCTGAAAGTGAGGTTCCGAAAAGCTTTCAGCAACTTCGGTATCATCTTGGAAGGCCGCTGGTACACTATGATTGTTCTTCGGAATATTTATATGAAATCCTGGGATGTCACTGTACTCAAAATTATGGTTGTCCATTTTTATTTGATGGCAACTTCCTTCAACCAAAATATAGAACTGCGAAAAAGAAATCAATTGGTTATTAATAATGAAGCACTAGAAATAAGCTTTGAGAAATAATACACTAAAGAGAAAGTAAGTAGGATAGGAACAGTTGGCATTAAAAAATGTAAGTATGGTGATACAAAATTGATCATTTAAGTGAAGTCCAGGCATATTCGTCGAAACAAAAATAGTATATTGCAAGAAAAGTAAAATCAGTTTATCTTCAGAATAGTGCACGAATACAAAGCCAACTAACCTGACACTAATGTTTATCGAAAGGTACAGCAAAACATTAACATCGTAAAATTGAAAAAAGATGACCATTTTATACATCTTAAGACACAGGGAAGACTCAAAAAACATACCTGCAGAACGGCTTTACTGTGATCAAACCATGGCTTTAATTAAAATGTTTAAAGATACACGACAACAAACGCCGCCTCCCGCACCTTCGTTCTGTTTTCGACGAGGGGGGGGGGGCGATGAGCGAATCTTCCAAAAGTATGATACCAATCTTGATATGTCCTAGAAAAAAATCAGCCCCATTAAACTCTCGCGTGAAGACTCGACCTCAAAGGTCATCAATAAATAAAATAAATAAAATATTACTTCGCTTTACATTCAAATTCACCGGTTCAAAGTTGTGTTGGTGGCATTGCGACTAGTTACCGAGACTGACGAAAGGTTGCGCTGGTTCACTGTCTTCTACGCCATCTGTTGGCGATCTCGACAACTGCTGAGGGACACGTCCAAGACAAGAAGCTTCTGCTTGTTCGCTTGTTCAAACCTAAACACGAGTGGTGTGGGACGGACGTTGTTGTGTTCGCGTGTTGGTCTCGCGTCTGAAAGGGAAGACGCGCGGTGTTCTCAGAGCGTCATTTTGCCCACTCACGAGTCAAAGTTTTAAATTTTTGACGTTTGTTACCGGCGTTCCTCTTTTTGATCTGGAAGGATATTCATCACCAGCAAGTAAATTTAGCTGCTGTCAGTTTGTGGACGCTGTTCGGCAGTTCGGCTTGCCTCTCGCGACTCAACTTGTTTTTGTTTTCGAATTGACAGCAGACGAATTTGGGAAAAGTGCATCATTTTGAACAGACTGCAGTGTGTTGTGTGTCAGTGATTTGGTGTCAACAACGTTTTAGTTAGTACCAGTGGACACCCGCAAGGCACCCCTCGAGAAGGCTTTGGAAGTGGAGGGCGCAACGAAATGAAATATTTTGTTTCCGTGTGTCGTGTTTAATTTAGACCTCTATTTGCTTTGATGTTTGCTCGAATCAGTGCCTGCAACGAGTGACGAAATCAATTTGTGGATAAAGTGACTGCGGTCTGAAATACCAGACCCCATTCTAAATCTTGGGTAAAGAGGTTATGTGACACACTCAAAATGCCTGTGATTCTTGTTGATAGGCTACCTTTGCCTAGTTTGAAAACATACACAGTTATAAGTGTTGCACTACTATCCTGCTCTGTCTACTATGCTGTGCAAGTCACCAGTGAAGCCAATTGGAAAACAAATGCTACTACCCCACATGAAACAGTGGCTCAAGCGTCATCGGGGAAGATACAAGACCATGCATTTACTCGTGTGCAACAAGCCATCGAACCAGGGACAATTCAAGCTGAACTACCACCACTTCTCAAGGCCAAACCTACTCTGAGTGTCCAGATTGCAGAGGTCGTCACGTACATGGTGCAGGAGCCTCTTTGTATTTGGGTGAGTTCATGTGTTGGAGCCTATTTTTAAAAAGTAATCACTCTCACTGGTGTTTTTTTTCTCTTCTGATATTTGGTATGCTCCTCATGATGCATTTCATCCATTAGTGCCCTGACCTATTTTCACTTGCCAATATTGTGCCCCAAGAAGACTGTCGTGTTAGTATCTGAGCCGCTTTCTAGTCTGGTTATCTCATGCCTTGCCTTATGCAGATCCCCAGAATTCCCAGTAGTCCATCAGATGGGGATGGGGGAATGCGCAGCCGTTGGATTAATCAGTCCACTCCCCCATTGACCTAGAAGCTATCCAACTGTTCTCCCTGAGCCCCGAGGAGAACGGGGTAGCCACATTGAAGTCATTTTAGAGTGACTGATGCTGAGATGACGTCCTCATATGGCATCACTAGTGCCAAAAACTTGTGACTAGGTAGTCGTATTGATTTACTTCTGACATATCCTCGTCTTCCCTGCTCTCCGTGCCAAAGTTGTGGTAGGCAACCAGCGTGGGAGTGCCTGGGAGTGCGCTGCAGTTCACGAGAGGGGTGGGTGGGCCAGGCGCAAGGCGCAGCAGGCACCGCGTGGTACGGAACAAAGAGCTGTTGACGAAGAAAGTATATGTTCCGTACAGCAGGGACGCCTCCCCATTTGCAGACCCTTCGTTCCGTTCCGGAAAACTTGGTTCTGTTCCCGCCCCTTCCCTTCCCAACTGAATGGAAACCTGTCGTTCTGTTCCGGCCTGAGATTTCGTTCCCCGTTCAGGCAGAAAGCCATCATCATGAAAAGTGTTCGTGAGGGACGAGCAAACGGGATTGGTTCCGTTCCGCTCAAATTTCGTCATCTGTTCCGAAAAACCTCCATCGTCGTAGAACCGACATTGAGCGGGGTGCTTGTGGTAGGCAACCCGCTTGTGTCCAGGAGGAGGGGGTGGGTGGGCGAGGCGACGCGCACTGTGAGCGGGCTGCAGCGGCGGCAACGCTCATGACGCTGGCATGCATTATTGAGCATGTGTAAGTTGGCGCAGAGCGGGGCAGAGCGGCGCCGGCCTCAAAGAGGGGCACCGTGCGGCGCTGGTGGAGTGTCCATACGGTCCCGACCTGAACCGACCCATGCCCCACCAACCGTACGGCTCTAAAGCCATACCTTCGCGGCTAGCTTAGTTCGGGCATTTCAATCATCATCATTTATTTAGCTTTTAACGTACTATTTTGAGGATAGGAGATTTTTTTTCCATTGGAAAACGGCTGTCATGTCAAATTTACCGCTGTTGCGGCAATAATCGTCTGGAAGCACTTTTGAAGTAGTTGTGTTGCGGTGTGCCGATAATGGACTCCTGGAATAATGAGGAGGGCCGTAAAAATGTTTTGCCTCCGCCCGAAAACGAACAGCGGCGGTGTCTTTTACCCTTTCTCGTCCCGGCCCGCGGTGTGTTTCGTTGCGATTTGCACCGACACCGAGCGAAAGGCATTAAGGACGTTAATAATTCAACGAGGACACCCCGCGACTTAAAGGCCCCTCCTCTGTGCCGCGCTACACGGCGAGAAAGCGGAAGAGACTGTTAATATATGTTTTGTCTCTTAGCCAAGTCAAGCTTTTACCCGCGCACGGCTAGAAGAAGTAACGGAAAAAAGAAAACAATGAAAATAAAGGAAAAAGAATGATGGTTGGCTTTTATCATGGTCATTTGGCGTTACTGCGTGGTGATGGTCTTTAATCAAACAGACTTTTATTTTTACTTGTTTTTTCGAGGCCCCAGTACTTTGCAATCGTAGAACAGTTATATACTGGAACGCAAAATGTCTACCCATCTGTGGTGAAATTAACCGAAAGACATACTAAGTGAAAACTCGCACCCCCCCTCGCCCAGGAAAACAATGAGTATGCTTAAAACTTGATGAGGATGAGCGCGTCGTGTGTTATCTCAAGCCCCTTATGTTTCTACATATTTTTATTTTTTGTTTCGTTACCGATGGTGGCGGCGGCCCGTGCAGCACGCGCCGGTGTAGCAAATCGCTCCGTTCCTAGCGTTGCGCTAATTATGTTACAGCCGCTTATGTTTTCGTGTGTGAGAGCGCGATACGGCGGCGCTGATAGCTCTGCCGGCTCTGCCCTGCCGTCACCGGCGCGGCGGGCCTGCGGGCTGCGGCGGGCTGCGGCGGGCTGCCTCTGATAAAAGATACACTGACAACAGTCATCGACGCGAACAGAGGCGAGCAGACCACTACTTGTGATGGGTCGCGAAACATCCCCATGTTTTGAATCATGATGGCGACGGGCAGAGGAAACCTGGCGAGAATCAGCGTTCAGCAGCAAGCCTCTCACTCTGCGGCGGTGCGCACTCCGCGCGGCCGCGTTTGCTGCTGCGCCGCCAGCGCCCTTTCTCCGGCGCGTTGTCGCCCGCACACCTACTCTGCAAACATGCGCTGCACACAAATAGAAACTCCCGGTTAAAAATATAAAATAGCTGTGGTGCAAACAGTTTTATTTGTACACAACTAGAAAAAATATTTCGACGACAAAAAATGAATAGATGGGCCGCTTTGTGGCCAAAAAAATAATAATAGCGATGCCAATTTTTGTTATGTTTGTTGTGTAGTACAGTCCCATAATATGGCTCAAAAATACCCCGACGGGTTTGAGATTTGCGCGCCTGTAGCCGGTTTAAAGCGGTTTGAAGTTTAAAGATCCTCGTAGAGGTACACTACTTCGCGCGTATTTTATTTTTCCATCGTTGATCATCGGCAGTGTCCCTTCCGGTGGCGAAAGTGGATTACCATTGGTCGGGCCCCTGGCGCCGGGCGAGCCGAAACGACCAGCTGGGACTTCACGGGTCCCTGCTCCTATCCGGATAAGAGTGGAAGTGGTCCAGGAGAGCTCCCTTTCTCGCGCTCGTTCTCTTTATCTCCTCCATCCCCCTCTCCTTCTTCTCCTCCTCTCCCCCCGAGATGCCGATGCGTGCCTCGGGCCCCACAGCTGCTGCAGCTGCTCGCAGCATCCTTCCTGTGTGTATCCGTTCGTCTTTGCTTGGCTTGCGGTGCGCCGGCCTCGGCGGAGGAGGGAAGTCCTGCCGCCTTGGGATAAACGACCGTATTATCGCCTCCATTGGCGACGCTACGCGAAAACGCATCGAGAGGCGCTGCCGCCGCGAGGCCGGTCAAATGTGCGGAACATTCCTGCAAATAGCCCCCCCCCCCCCTTTCAGCGCACGCTCGCGTGCATGCACACTGTGGTGCATATGGCAAAGACAAACAAGCGTGCCGCGGGCGACGGCAGGCGCGCAGGCTTACAGACACGATTACTAGGCAAATTCGCGTTTCGCCATTGGTGCAATAACCGTTTTTCAGCAAACCCGGAATGACGGACCCGTGCACGACGGAGAGCTCGCCTGACTCGGCCTGACCCCTCCGCGACTGAGCGGCTATTATTATTGTTTGCTCGCAAATGCTGGCGTTTGTGGCAAAAACTTGCAAATTTGCACTCTTCGTTCTTTACAATGAGTGGTCTTCATATTACGAAGGATTGGATTTGTAACGTACAAAGGATCAAGAACCACATATTACAAACGGATTTCCTTCGTATTACAAAGAGCACCAGTTTGTGAACAGACGCGTGCTCTTCGTATTACAAAGCCGAGCCGTTCTGTCTGTACTACAAAGGGCTCAAATCCTCGGCACGTTACGAAGAGCAGTTCTTTGAAAGAAACTTACAGTGTGTGGGCGGGTGTCGAATTACTTATACCCGGTTCAATAAGTCGGCACTACCCGCGGGCCGCGTCCGAGGTCCGGAATGCACTTTTAAACGAGGATCGCCCAGATAGTTCGTCCGTTTTTCTGCAGATTCCTTCGCCAAATTGCGATGGGTGCGCGCCTGCGAGACGGACGGTAGGCCATCCCGCATTACACGCATGTATTGCATGAAAGATGTTGCCTACCAACCAGGCGCTATGACAGCTTGCATGCGTGCTGAACAACTTAGTAGTTTCGTAACGTCGAATAAAGTGCCTATACTGTCTGGATGACCCCTTATCCGGCTCGTATATTGAGAGATCAGCCGGCCGGATTCAACAGGGACCGGGTAAAGTCACCTCTAGCCAGTGGGCGGTCGCAAATTTTATTGACACGGTGGGTAATGGATCAAAACCTTTTCCTGGTACTCATTTGAATATTTTGTAACTGTGACGATGACAAATATCCGGCGCGATCATTTTTCTGCTCTGATAATGTGTGACATTTTTGCCGATGTTAGGAACTCCTCCCAGTTTCGCATCTCTTTCACCTTTTCACACTCAAAGACGAAGACTCACCGGCGGAAAAAGAAGGAAAACAGCCGTTCCAGTCACAAAACGATAAGACAGAAAACAAAAGGCGAAAATATCCCGCGTCCCAGTTCGCGCCAGGCTGACCTGCCGCTTCTAGGAGCCAAGCAGCCTGCTGTAACGCTTTTCCCGAGCATAAACGCGGAATCCGGTTGTGGGGAAGGAGGGCAGTGGTATGGCGCTCTGTCGGGAGCCCCTGCTGCCCTGGCCCTCCCGGTGACGCTGGCCCGCGCTGGCCCGGCGCGGCGGCGGTCGCGCGTCGGCCGAGTAGCCCGCGCCGCGTCCCGCGTCTGCTGGGCTGCAGGCTGCTGTTTCCTCTTCCTCCGGGCCCTCTTCCTCCTTTAGAGATGGGGGGCGCGACGGTCTCAACAACTCATTCGTTTATTTTTATCAGAGACATTGTCTTGCGCCCGCTGACGGAAGCGGCTCGCAGGGTGTCAACACGCACGAGTGCGCTAAACGCTTCCTCCTCCTCCCCGCCGCGCCTCTGCTTGTGTGTTTTCCTTATGGTTGTGGCCGGCCCCCTGTTTTTCGGCCTGGAAGTCTCTCTGTAATGCGAGTGATTACGCTCATTCTGCGCCCGCGCCGCCGCCGTGGGCTCCGGTCGGGGTCCGCCGCCGAGGGGGGCTGGCTAACCGGCTGGCTATCGCAGTGTCACACGCACACGCGACCATGCTCACGGTCCGCCT